CCCCCCTCCCCCTCCCCCCCCCCAAGTTGGCACATTCGGATTATAAATTCTCAACTTGCACAAGAGAGTAACATATTGAGATTTTCCTAATGCCTTCGTAAAGATATCTGTTAATTGCTCATGTGAAGGAACAAAGCTAGTACAGATATTCCCATTGTCAATCTCGTCACGAATAAAATGACAATCTACTTCAATGTGTTTGGTTCTTTTATGAAAGACTGGATTCTTTGCTATGTGCAATGCTGCTTGACTCGCATAATAAAGATGAACAAAGGAAGTGTAAGTCACTCCCAAACTAGATAAAATTTCCTTCAACCATTTCATCTCACAGATTGTCATTGAAATAGAATGATATTCAGCTTCTGCAGATGATCGAGAGATGACATATTGCTTCTTAGTCTTCCAAGATATGGGTGAGTCACCCAACAAGATAAACCAACCTGTGAGTGAGTGTCGAGTCAAGGGACAACCAGCCCAATCGGAGTCACATCACCCATTGAGACATAGATCATATTTACTTTTTAACAAAATACGGTGTCTTAGATTCCTTTTCAAGTAGCGAACAACCTGTAAAGTTGCATCCCAATGCTCCTCTTTTGGTTGCTGCATGAACTGAGATAAAATATGAACAATGTAGGATAGTTCCGATCGAGTGAAACATAGATAAATAAGTCGCTCTATCAAACGACGATAACGCTCAAGGTCATCAACAACCCGTCCACCGACAATACCGGCTGATGATTCTGTTCCAAGGACATTTCCACAGGTTTAGAACCTAATAACCTAACCTCTGAGATAATATCCCAGGCATATTTTCGTTGGCTCAAGAAGATGCCTTCAGAAATTTTGGATACTTCCACTCCCAAAAAATATTTCAATCTACCCAAATCCTTCATTTGAAAGCATTTGGCATGATAGGTTTTGAACTCGCGGATAGCCTCGGGCTCATTGTTAGAGATAATCAGATCATCAACATACACAAGGAGATTTACTCGAACTTCACCCTTTTTCAAAGTAAAAACAGAGTTATCAGAGTATGAATTCTTGAACCTGTAGTCCTCCAAGGCATCCGACAACTTACCAAACTAACACCTCGACGTTTTCTTTAAGCCTTTAACCCATAAAATGACTTTTGAAGTCTGCACACTTTTCATAGACTTGCAACTCGAAACCCATGAGGCAATTTCATGTACAATTCTTCCTAAAAATCCCCATGCAGGAAGGCATTATGTACATTCATTTGATGTAACTCCCAATTCTTTGCAATTGGTACAACCAAAAATGTGGGGCAGTCAGTATCTTTGCCACTGGGAAAAACATTTCATTATAGTCGATCCCCTCTACTTGATGATTCCCGGGAATAACTAGTCGGGCCTTATGTTGCTCAGTTGTTCCATTAGAGTTGTACTCTATCTTGTAAACTCACCTGCAACCGATAGCCTTTTTGTTGGAAGGCAGATTCTCTATTACCCATGTTCCATTATTCTCTAGTGCCCGTATTTCTAATCTCATTGCTTCTTTCCACTTGCCCTCTTTCTCGGCCTCAGACAAATGATCTGGTTCATGTGGTGTAGTGATTGCTACAAGAAAAGCACTTGTTGTTCAAAGAATTTATCGCAATTCACATGTTGTGTTAAAGGATAAGGCGTACCTGAGTGATGCTGTGAAGTGGATGGAGGATAAGATAGGCTCAATTTCTAGACAACATTAGTAACATAATAACAAACAGATCAGTGTGTATTTTTGGTGGTCTCAGCATCCAAACTGCTTCTTCTCTATTATTTCATCTTCCTTAGTTTCTCTCCTACCTCCTGGTGAATATTTTCCTCTATCCCGGCCTCGCGGTGATCCTCCACATCAAGATCGTCTTCACGAGCTTGGACTGAGTCACTGCCCCCTCGCTTCAGACTCCTCATTCTGTCCTAGTACCTCAACATGCATTTCTTTATTTTTATCTCTCCTAGTGTTATGTGTTGATGAAGCGAAAGGGAATTCAGTTTCATAGAAATCAACATCTCGTGAAACAATATATTCTTTCTTCTCTAAATCATACACTTTCCAAACCTTCTTTCCATAGGGATATCCCACGAAGACACACCTATAACTTCTACTTGAAAACGATCATCCTTTATCCCTAAGCTTCAAGCATAACATAGCTAGCCAAATACTCAAAGATGTCTATACTCAGACACTCGACTATATAATAATTCATAAGGTGTCTTTTCATGCAAGATTGAAGACATAGTTAGATTAATCAAGTGACAATCCATCAAAATACATCCCCCCCAAAAATAAATCAATCACCAAGTTACCTTAAAAGCTCAAGGCTCGGGCTACAGTCAAGATATGACGATGCTTTCTTTTCACTCTCCCATTCTGTTGAGGTGTTCCTGTACACAAATGCAACGATCCGGCCATGCATTTCGATTATTTAGCCCTGATACCCTATTTATTTCCTCCTCTACATTATATTGCAGTTATGTGACTTGTCGGGGTGTTTAATTTTGATTTCGGGTGAGTTTCAGAGTGAAACGGGATACTTAGTCCCTAAGTTAGAGCCTTAAGTTGATAGAGTTGAATGTGGTTTGACTATTGTGTAGACGACTCCGGAATGGAGTTTTGACGGTTCCAATAGCTCCGTATAGTAATTTTGGACTTAGGAGCGTGTCCGGATGTTGATTTGGAGGTCCGTAGGTTATTTCGGCGTAGATTGGTGAAAGTTAGAAAATCGAAGGTTTGGAAGATTGAAAAGTTTGACCGGGAGGTGACTTTATTGATATCGAGGTTGGATTTTGATTCCGGAGATTGGAATGGGTCTGTCATGTCATTTATGACTTGTGTGCAAAATCTGAAGTCAATCGGAGTTGTTTTGGTATGAATTGAAATTAGTTTTGAAATTCGAAATTTCATAAGTTTATTAGGCTTGAGTCGATGTGTGATTCATGATTCTAGTATTGTTTGATGTGATTTGACGCTTCAAGCGAGTTCGTATGATATTTTAGGACTTGTTGGTATATTTGGTTGAGGTACCGAGGGCCTCGGGTGTAATTCAGATCATGTTTGGCGCATTTCAGAACCTTGAAGACCGCTGAATCTACTGCTACTAATTTCCTTGTACGCGATAATGAGTGGGGGTTTGCGATCGCGAAGAGTTGTTTGGCACTGGTGGATTTTTGTTTTAGGCGATCGCGTAGTTAAGGCTGCGATCGCGAAGCCTTGGGGAAGTTGTATTATGCGATCGCGTGC